TGATGCGTCCACCGGGTGAAATGTAGCTGCCCAAATAACAAAACTTATCCACCTGCTCTATTCCTTCCCCAGTTAGAGTGAGGCTGGGTGCTGGACCAACCCAGTCTTGTAGTAACATTTTACACTTTGAAGGTGCAAAAAGTGGCCATGTCTGTGCACTGTAGAGCCGGACTGGCCGAACTGCTGCAGCATACAGTCGACCCTTCACAGACATACACTTCAGTCGAGAATCATATTCGTTTTTCAATTAAATGACTTGACTCCAAAAAAGATTCCATGATTCGATGTGGCAAAATGATAAGAATTTCATGATGAATCCGTTTCTGAACACGATAATTCAAACCACACTGACCGTTTTGCTCCAGGGGGGTCGAGTGATGAATGGGCTGATGTCAGTCAGTCACTGACTGGTTTAAGGTTGGTAAAGTGTAAGAGTAAACAGTGATAGCTATGCCTACTAAACCACGGTACGCATATTAGCAGCAACCGAAAACAATCCTACCTTGATCAAACAGATTTACGTACTATCCTCTATGCATAGTTACGCTTTTCTAGTACGACGCAGCGTTAATTTGGAAACCGGTATTGTCACTACTCCCTTCGGTATAGTCGTAGGTGCAATCCTTTAATATGACGGAAACATAATGACGAAGAATGCATTCTGACTCGTGAATAAAGGCCCCTGTTACTCCTCGATGAAACGGATTTCACTATGGACGAACCGTGAAGGAGTGGATCCTACGTAGCAAGAGATGCCTCGGAGTGAGAATTAGAGATAATTCTGTGATTTAAAATGATACATCCTAAAGAGTTTCGATTTCTTTTTTGATTGTGAGTTCCATAAAAAAGGAACTCCATGATATTTTCCATTTTCACTGACAATTGACACCATTAAATGCGGTATTAGAATATTCAGGTGATATTTATCTTGTTGTGGAAGTCCCAGCAGATCCGACAGCCTTGACGAATTTGATTAAAATCTCCACAAAAGTATTATCTACCGGAATATACGGTGAGTTCCATTTTTCTTCTGCACAGAGAAGCACGAAATGTTAGTTGAATACATCCAAAAAAAAACAAGCAAGAACATTAGTAAATTGACAAATGAGGTGACAAAAGGAATGTGTGAGAAGATGCTACACAAGTGAGAACGTGAAATCGGATGATGGGGTGAGGAGGGAGAAGAATACCGCTTGCCAAGAAGAACTATTACACCGAAACTGACACACACACACACACACACACACACTAGACATTTCCAGAAAAGAAGAGTCTGAAGTCCTGGAAAGATGAATATTGCTAACTACGCGTACTAGGCAAAGAATCAGTCAGACAAATGGAGCGACAGTCTTTGAAGGACAAAAAAGGTATTGGCAAAAAACACCGTTATAAAGAGCGCACATGACTTTAAAAAGTGAAATGTAGTTAATGCCAAGTGAAATTATATATATATATATATATATATATATATATATATATATATATATATGATGTGGTTTGCTTAAAGTTTGATAGGTACGATGAAACATGTTCGCAAAGAGAAAAGAAACAGGGAATGCATGTGAACAGACGGATTGATATAAGGTACACAGGGTGGAATATGTCATGCCATTGGTGTTAGAGAAAAGATTTAGATATCGAATGTACGATACTTGGTGGTAGAGGGTATTGGGATCACTCAATAAAATTCGCCCCACCAATAGTAATAAGGAGAGCAATGCTCACATTACCAATACTAATCAAAACAGTAGTTACTTCCATCTTCTGCTGCTGACCGCTACGCCATTGTCTAGGATTGGGTTGCCAAGTAATGAATACAAGCGGGTTGGTATCAATACTATCATTATTATTATAATACCAACCGGCTTGTATTTAATGAAGTTTGTTTCACTCAGGCGATAAAAATTTTAGTATTTCCCAAGCCTGTAAACCTAAACTGACAACTAAATCACTGTACACAATCCTTCGTGACAAAGAACGCGGTTCAAGATTTGCTCGTGGGCGGAACAGTGTTACGTTGCCCAGGCTAGGTCGGG